AGGGTGCCCTCTATGGAAAGTACAGAGATCTCTGGGGTGATTTGAGTACAATCATAATCCAATATCACTGTGTAGTAGCCAACAGGGAAATAAAGAATAGTAAAATAGCCCAGGTACCCTAGAACTGATCTTGAGGAGGTAGTGGTATTCTGCAAATGGCACTCATCACATGGAGGTCTCAAACATCAACTAGAAATCCAGTCTCACGCTGCAATAAGTATGATGAGTAGAATTTGACTTTTTTGCTCAGAAAAATAATTAGTTATTATTTATTGATGAGGTTGTTAACTTTCATTGCACAGGAAACCAAACCATATAGATGTGGTTCTCCCTGTCATATCAACTGGTAATTGTTGCAGATAGGGTGCTACTGAGCGTGTGGCAAAATTCAAGAGTGCCCCTGTCTTAAACTAATGTGAATAAAACACTGTGAAAAATGAAACAATGATTGCAGCATTGATTCTGAGATAAGCCATGGACATTCAGCCTCTGTAAGAGCTGAACTAGAATTGAAAAGGAATGTATTCTGCCCTCTATATATCCAAAGCTCTTAAATATGTATGAAAAACTCATTTAGAAGAATTTGGTGGTTTAGCTTAATGTGTCCTGTAGCTGTAACAGGTACCAAAAGTAGTACCAAAGGAGGCAGCATCTGGTACACCAGGAATGCACTGATGATACATTATTTACAGATGAAGTTTCATCTTAGAAAGCACCATGGGCTGTTACATCCAACAGGAAAAAGCAATTTCCAGACCTGGAGAGCTTGCAGACTTTGCAATTCTGGTCAGTGCTGACAGAAGGAATCTAGGTACTATCAAAGTCCTTCCATGCTGAACATTACTAAGGACTAGATTACCATCAAGGGACAACCATTTTAAGTCCTACAGTACAACACAGCTCACTGTGGCAGGGACTGAACAGGATGACCCTCTGCAGAATAAAAACTCACAGCGGGTGTGCAATGAGCCTTTTTATGTCACCTCACTTATCAAGTGTTTTCATGGCATTTTATAAACCTTGAGACAACAGTCTGAAATTTAATACTGACATGTTCCTGGGTTCATTGGGATTTATTTGTTAGTGAATGTCTGGCAACCCTGTCCTTCACTACTATGTGGCTTCACATTATAGCTAACATTTTGAGTATCGAGTGGTACGAGACCTATTTCTACCACAAAGGAATATGTTAAGGCAAGAACAAATCCAGACTGGACAAGAGCACTGCTTTTTAATGAAGTATCAGTTGTTTATTATCTGTCCATAGAAATGACTGGAGTATGTGGAAAAGAACACAGTACCATGAGAAGTAAATGTTTTTAATCTAGTAAAATACTGCTTGTTTTTCAGCTACATGATGAAATATTTGAAGCCTAGCAGTTTGAGATGGATTTTCAGCTTACACAATTCATAAATACTTTCAGATCAAACAAGAATCAGAAGCAGTTAATAAGCTTGTATTGATTGCTATATTTTTATGTGTCACTTTGCTCTTGCATTATCTTTTCTTCTTAGTAGAAAAGTATTCTCTAGTAAGCACTAAAGAGAACTGATACGTAAGACCAATGTTCTGCTTTGGCACTGACTTACTGGATGTCCTTGGTCATGTCACTTTATCATATATATCTCAGAAAAGTTTTGCTGTGACTGAAGATTAGGATGCAGTCATTTGAGGTAACACACATCAAAATAAGCCTGACTTAGCTGCACAGAACTCCTGTAGATGGATTAACACTGCTGAGTAATAACGGAAATTATTCTGTGCTGAGCTCTTTTTTGATGCTTTACTTACGTCTGCTGCTTGCACTAGTTAGTCTAAACTAGATTGTTGTTTTTTCTATGCCACAGTGCAGCCAAATCTATATACCACATTGATAAACACTAGTCTTAAAATATGCATGTTACTCATGAGAACATGTAAACCGTTTGAAGTTATACACAGAACAACTTTTTTTTCTATTTGCAAATCACTTGTGAGAGTTGCAAAATAAACATGAGTATTTGCCAGTTGTTAATGAATGTTTTTTCATCTGCAAATGTGAAGTAGCTTTTTCTACCATTGATTTGCAATAGTTTTCATCTAGCAATGTCCTTGAAAGAGCTCTCAAATATGTTTGACAGTCCACCAGAAAAGCTTCTGACATATAGATTGCTCTGGCCTGCAGCAAATAGTCTTTCATTTCCATCTATTATAGGGGAACCATAAATTCTGGGGTACCTCAGCCCTGCTTTTGTTACAGTGACTGAACCTTATGGACACATTAAAATGACCCAAAGCAATTTGGGGTTGTAATTTCTGACCATTTGTTCTTTAAGAATGATCTCTCCCCTTGCCCACAATCTATGCATATATTACAGAGTTCTGTAATTCCAAGTCATTCAAAGCAAACATAAAAACCCACAGTAGGAAATAGGTGCTGTTAAAACCTTAATTCCTAAATATAAATCTTTCTGCTCAGTGAGACATGGGTATTTTCTCAGAACTTTCCAAGCAGAGGAGAGGACAAATATATTAGAAGACATATATTCAGGGTTGAAGAAGGCATTCCAACAACAGTTCCATAGCTAACTGAATAAATACAATTTGACCCTGGTGCAGAAAAAAAATACAATACCATCAGCTTGCCGGTGCTAACAAAGTGTCATGCCAAACAGATACACGGTCCATTTATTCCCTTAGAAGTTTACAGCTACATGGGTGTTAAATTTCTAATACTGACCCTTCATAAAAACTACTTTAACATTTATAAAAACAGGCATCAACATTACGTCACATATATCAAGAGAACAGCTCATCTGTCCTTGATATAGTTTCAAGCAATTTTTATTTGGTAGTAAAGTGGCTATCAGCCAATGCTTCAGCAATATCTTAAGCCCCAAGGAAGGCAGATACTGCTGAAATGCCAGCTGACAAACACTTTAAATCCAAACAAAAATTGCTTGAAAATATATTGAGAACATGTGAGCAGTACTGTTGATATAACCAACATGATGTTTATATCTACTCAGAGAAATGAAATGAGTCAGTTGACACAGGCTGCAGTAATCCACTGTGATCAGCAATAAACACATTGGGACAGATGTCTTGCAAAGGAGTGGAAGGGATCAGTGTCATTCAGTACAAATAGGACTGCCTTCCTCGAGCCAGGAAGAAGACTTGGAAGAGGGCAAAAAAATCTGCTGTACCAAATGCATCCCACTACAGTAAACCTGCTTTAGCAGGGACTTGGACTTGATGATCCTTACTGGTCATTTCCAACCTCTACAAATCTGTGATTCCATGAAAAAAAGACTTTGCAAATTATTATTGTTATTATTATTCTTCACCAGTGCAACACGTCCCAGAAGATGAGAGAGGCTTCATTGTGCATTATATCTTGGCTAATAACAAAATGCAGTGAATGGGTAAAATAAGTGAAAAGGCCAGATGGTAGAGGAGGAAGAATTCATATATGCTGGAAAAGACTTGGGGGTTCTGGTGTATGGTAAGCTGGACATGAACCAGCAACATCCATATCCTGGGCTGCATAAAAAGCACCATGGTCAGCAGGTCGAGGAAGCTGTGTTCTGTGCTGGTGAGAACTCACCTGGAGCACTGGAGTTCAGATGTGGAGTCCTCATTACAGCAGAAATGTGGACCTGTCAGAGTGTGTCCAGAGGAGGGCCACAGAAAAGATCCAGGGGATGGAACATTCTCCTTACGAGGACAGGCTGAGAGAGCTGCTGCTGTTCAGCCAGGAGAAGAGAAGGTTCCTGAGAGACTTGAGAGCAGCATTTCAGGATCTAAAGAAGGGGTATGAAAAAGAAAAGGACAGACTCTTCAGCAGGGTATGTTATGATAGGATAAGGGGAAAAGGTTTCAATCTAAAAGAGAAGAGATTTTACAGGAATAGTGGTGAGGCACCGAAAAAGGATGCCTAGAGAGGTGGTGAATGTCTCATCCCTGGAGACACTCAAGGTCAGACTGGATGGGGCTCTGAGAAACCTGATCTAGCTGTAGGTGTCCCTGTTCATTGCAGGGAGTTGGACCGGATGACCTTTAAATTTCCCTTCCAACTGAAATAATGTTATGATTATGTGATATATACTTGCTATGTAAATGTATTCCTTGCCTCACGTTTAGGACAGAAATTCAGAGATGTTTCTGACATTACTGGCATCCAAAATGCAGTGAGTTTTCCGAGGTTATACACCAGAGAACACCTTGTTCTCCTCTCAGGCCTCTCCCCAGCACAAATCTCTGCAGTTCTGGCAATCCAGGCAGGCCACCAGCCCCATCCAACCTACAGAACAGATGTTATCTGCAGAGCAGCCAGATCCAAGTGAATCTTTTATTTTAGGTTGAAGAGAAAATACATTACGTGTTACTAACATTATTCAGCTCTTGGAACGAAGAGTACATGTCCAAAGGGGTAATGGTAATTAGTGAAAGGAGTTAATGGTCCAAGAGGGTTAATGGTAATTTTATAACGTTATAAAAATGGATTGAGGTGCCAATTTGGACTAGATGACCTTCAAAGGTCCCTTCCAACTCAAACATTCTATGATGCAGGCTGAGGGCTCCAGCACAGCCTTGAGGAACACTTCCCACAGGGGCCTGTCCTGAGGCACTGTAACATCTTGGGGATGACAGACGCACAACTACACCCCAAATCCAGAACGTACCCTCACAGAAGTTTAGCCACATCGGGCCACGACGAACGGCATTTCCCCGCGTACACAGCTCCTTCAGCCTGGGGCCGGAGAGAACTACACTACCCAGCGGGCCATGCGCGGGAGCCCCGTACTCCGCCCCCGCCTCTCAGCGCTAAGGATCCTGGGAGTAGTAGTCTGTCCCTCTCCCTCGGGAAGTTTAACTGAAAAAGTTTCCGCACCCTTTCCGGGTGCCTCGCCGCTCTTCGGCGGGTGTGCGCGGTTTCCATGGCTACGGCCCCGCAGCCAATAGGAATAAGGTTTCTAGGCGCGGAGGGCGGGGTGAAACGAGAGATGGCCCAATGAGAGGCGGCTTTGTTGAGGGGCGCGCTGGCAGCGGGTACGGAGAGTCTCCTTGGGGCTGTCCCTGGCCGCGGCCTGGTAGCGCCGGGCGAAGATGGGCGCCAGCGGCAGCACTCGGCGTGTCACCTTCGAGGCGGACGAGAATGAGAACATCACAGTGGTGAAAGGCGTGCGGGTGAGAGCGGGGCTCCCCCGGGCCTGGGTGTCTTCTCTGGGACAGATTCTTCTCCGTTCTCTGAGGGGCACGTGGGGCCTGGCCCGCCCGGCGCTGCCCCTGCGCCTCTCTCGTCTTTCTCCCCGTTTTGTGCCGCTGTGCTGCCGGCGTCTGCCTCCTGTTCCTTTCTCGGGCTTTGCCCGTTTCCTCCCCTTACTCCTTATCCTCAGGTCTTGCTTTCACTTTCTCCTTTGGTGAGAAGCTTGCTGTGACTGTGTTGGCCCCTCGGTCTGGTCTCCAAGGGCAGAGGCAGCACGGTGCTGAGAGAGGTGTGTGACTGGAGGAAGTTGTTTTGTGCCTTCTCTGACTTCCACGTCTCAGAGCTGCTCGTGTTCCCACGTTCTCTTACGAGCTGTGTGAGCCAGCAGTGTGCTCTCGAACCCCGGAAGGCCAACGATATTCTGAGTTGCATCAACAGAGAGGTGGCAGCAGCGAGGGAGGTGACTGTTACTCTTTACTCTGCCCATGTGAGGCCTCATTCAGAGAACTGTGTCAGGGTCTGGGGCCTCCAATACAGGAAAGGTGTGGAACTGTTGGAGTGGGTCCAGAGGAGGACATGAAAATGATCAGAGGGTTGGAGCACCTTTTCTGTGAGGACAGGCTGAGGGAACTGGGCTTGTTCAGCCTGTAGAAGGCTCCAGGGATGCCTCATTGCAGCCTTCCAGTATTTAAAAGGAGTTTATGAACAAGAGGGGAATCAACTTTTTATGTAGGTAGATAGTGATAGGAAAAAGGGGAATAGTTTTAAACTAAAGGAGGGGAGATTCAGACTAGATGTCAGGGGGGAATTTCTCACTGAGAAGATGGTGAGGTGTTGGCATGGGCTCCCTAGGGAAGTTGTGGATGCCCCATCACTGGAGATGTTTAATGTCAGGCTGGATGGGGCACTGGGCAGCCTGATCTGGCAGGTGGCAACCCTGCCTGCAGCAGGGGGGTTGGACCTCGATGAACCTTGAAATCCCTTTCAACTCAATCCATTTTGTGATTCCATGATTCTGTATATCCAGTTTTCAGTTCACTCTACAGAAGCATTCATGTTCTTTCCCAGTTTGTGGCATCTTGTGGCATAAGACACTGCCAAATTTGTCAACAGAAGACACTGCAGTTCATAGCAGGAATGATAAGGTGTCTTTTATCTCTGCTGATAGGGAGGAGTGTTGCACAACAAAGGATGGTGGTAACTCCTGCTTTTTCTTTTGTCATACTAATATTTCCCTGTTCTGGACATGTAATGGTCTTGGTCAAATAGGTGACAGTAACTTAAATTACTGTTAAATTACTGTCACTATTAAGTTAGAACAGAGTTTATCATCTTCGTAACTTCTTTTTATTTGATTGCTGTGTGTGGTGAGCATTTATTGCTGTATTGTTGGCTCCAGTTTCTTCAGTACTAGGAAGTGCTGTTGAATTTTCTGTGTAGTATCCTATTGAAATTTCTGTAAAGTATCCTGTATCTTGAAATACTGACTACAAAAACTGTATGATATCACAAGTGATAGGGAGATACAGATTCATTAATCAGTGGGGTATCTGTAAATGGGTCTCTTTATATACTTAAGACTAATTGTGTCAAGTCTGGCTGAGAGATTTGATATTAAGGCAAGAAATCTTATGATGGAGGAATTTTACCTCTTCAATTGCATGTTAGAGCTCAAATTGTAGCAAAACTTCTCTAACACAGGTTTCTGCCAGTGAGAAACATAGTGCTGTAAAGAACTCTCTTTTTAAGGGTATTCAAAGTTGTGTTCATGGTGTTCAAGGAAAGTTGTAAGTTGAAAAATAAGAACTTGTATGATTTTTTTTTTTCTGTTAGATGTAGGTTGCTCCAAAAGTAATGCCTTCTTTTTATTTCTATGGAGAATACAACAGTTACAAAGAGCATAATAACACTGTTTAATAGAGCAGTTTCTCAGCTGTGAAACTTCATTTTTCAGTGTGATCATCACTATTAGCTCTGCATTTTTGCCAGTGATGAACAAGAGCCTGTGTGCTGTGCACTAAAAAATCTGCACCAGTCGAAGTAACCTGCTGTTGCCGCTGCTGACAGGAACCACCACATCACTGTGCTCACATCCCCTGTTTGTTCTCCATAAACATTCAGCAAGTGTTGATGAATGTCAGCGGGTGCCATTTTTGCCACATGGAGGAGTTCAGTTCCACCTCTTTGCTTCATACACACTTTTGTGTCAGATACCACTTTGTCAGACTGCCTCTCTTCTGCCTCTGTTGCACAGCAACAAAATGTAATGGGATATTGGTGGGAGGGTTCAACATCTATGCCATACCACCAACATTCACCTCTGACATTGTGGACCAACGGGCATTACTTCCAGGGCAGCCCTTGTGTTTTTCCTTGGGGTACAGTAGATCTGGGCACTACTCTTACTGTCAGTTTGATTCTGTGTAATTTGTGGCAGTGTTTTTGGGTATGCATGTGTCAGCAGTAGGCTGAACTCTGTGGGTGACAATCCTTGCTATGACTACTGTTGCTCCAGTGCTCTGGGTGCCCTATTAGAATGAAGTTCCTGCTGGGCCAGGTGCTCTGCAGCTGCACAGCGTGGTGTTTGACCGTCATCCAATAGCAGATAAAGGCAGAAAGGCTGATTTAATAGAAGTAATGATGTGCTAGGGGATGGTGGTGTATCCTGTGTTTGATTGTACTGCTTTCTTGTGTTCCGTGAGAAGCAAAATGTTCAGTCTGATTCTTTGTATTCACAAGAGGTGCTTACCCCACCAAGGAAGGGAAGGATGGTTGAAATAACTTATGTTGTACTGTTGATAACATTTCAGCTTGTGTCTTATTTTGAAGCTCTGTCCTATTTTATTTAATAAGTTTTACTTCATATCTGTGAGGGCAGGGGGTTGTGGAGGTGAAGGAGGAGATGCAGGCTGACTGATGGGGTGGTGGTTTTGTTTTCCAGCTATCTGATAGTGTCATTGATCGGATGAAGGAACCTTCTTCGCCTGGTGGAAGACCGCAGTCTCAGCGCCGATCACCTGGTGCAGGTATGCATTTATTTTCTGTGTTTTAGTGGAGGAAAAAAATTGGAATGTGTCATTCAGATTATTGTAATGAACTCGTTGCCATTTCATTTATCTGATTTTTATCTGACATCTAACATTTTTCCTTTCGAAGAAAGAAGCAGTTGATGGGTTTTTAGATGAGTTAGATTACTCTTTGGTTTCTTCTAACAATAAAATTTAAAACACAGCTGTTCTATAGACTTGGTTTCAAAGTTATTATCTGTTTTTAAAGGCTCTGCTTTATTTTTATTTATAAAAAACCATATACTGAAGTATACATTGAGTTCTGAAGTGAAAATTCTTGTGCATTTAATCAACATTGAGTTTTCCTCATAGCAGTTGCAGTTGAAATACACTTAAGCAAATGATAAAAGAATGATATGTTATTCCCCTATTGTGGAAGAGTGAAAATGAGTTGTGTGCAGTTTGTACAGATTGCTGTCTGAAAATGATGGCTTTTCTAACATTTTTATTTCATTACTGAGGTCTGTTCAGTTGCATGTAGTCTAATTTAAAATAGTTCAGCACAGTGAACATGAAAATGAGTGGCAGAGAATTGGAGCTTGTGATTTATGTTGACTATTTGGAATCTTTGAGGTTCAAGGAAGGCTTCTTACCAGTTCTTCAGAAATATTCATGATATCAGTATTCCTAAGGGGCCTTCTGCCTTGTTATTCACAAAGCAAAACCCCCAAATCCTACCTCCTGATAAGAAGAGGTGGACCTTGCAGCAAGACTTGAATTAGCGTCATGTTTAATTCAGCTTGAGCATAGAAGTTGGTTTCCTTTTGCTTAACTGAAGATATTTGTGGAGTAGAGGTGGCTTTATCATAGCTGGGTTCCTTCTATAGTCAACAGAAAGAAAAATGTATTTTGGGGAGACAATTCATGTATTTTATTTGAAAAGTCTACTTCAGGATGAGACAAACTGCCCTCTAGGAATACCACAGTGAAGAGTTCAGGTGCCAGAGTCTGTGGGCTTCAGGTGAACCTACCCCCAGAATGTTTTATTTATAATGATGCTCCCAAATGTTGCTGCTCTAGAGGTTATTTTTCACCTTTTTAAGTGGTGGAAGTGTGACATATTGAAGACTGATAAAATATCAGTGTTGAAAAAGCCTCAAGTTGTCACCTGGCTGCTGAAATGCAGATTGCTCAATAAAATTACTTGGAATTTGGAGCTTGCCTAAGTAAGGTTTAGATGGAATAGGGCTGTAGTTTTGTGTCTGAACTGCCGGGTTGTTCCATCTTCTCTTGTTTGAATAGCATCCACATGATGATGTTAATGTGCTTTACTGTGGTGAAGAATTTATTTTAAGAAAATGATTTATGTGAAATAATAATATTTGTGCATCCTAAATGCTTACGTTGTGATACCTGTTGCTTTTCATCCTTAAATGGAATTATGGAAGTAGCCTTGAGAACAGGAAAATGAGGTTTTCGGGATGTAATTGCAGAGAAGAAGGCTGGAATGCCTCAGAAATTCTTTACTAATTCACAGTTTGCACATAGCTTGGTCTTCTGCTTCTTTTTGTGTGTTGGAAATCGTTTTTTCTTTTTCTTTCTTCACTGAAAGGCTTAATGAATCTCTCAATCCTTTGCAAGCTTGGGAGATGTTACTTGTATTTTTGCTTTAAGAGCTAGTAATTGAGGTGAAGTGCTTGTATTTACACAGGATAATCAAGGTTATACCTCTGTTGCTCAAATGATTTGTATTTAAGAAGATTAAATTATACTTAAGTACATGTTGCCATACCATCTATTCCTCTGTCACTGAATGATTTTTGATGAAGTATTACAAACTATTGAGTTTCTTTGATGCTGTAAGAACAGTCAAGCTATTTATTTTGGAACTACGTCTTAACTTGTCAGGGGCTGCACTTGTTTGATAAGGTGTCATTGCAAGAAGGACACTCCTATCAAAGCCAGTGCTCTGATGACTTAGTATTGAACTACTCTGGCTTTGGGGGCTAGATCCCAAATCTGGAGATCTTCCTTCTGCTGTGATGCAGCTGTGCTTGGTGTTGCTTTCTTCATTAAGCCCTCTTGTGCTGCTGATGAGATGTGTCTCCCACGGCTCCTCCTGCGTATGAATCTGGTTAGAGTGACTTGTTTTTCCATCTGGGTGGATCACTCACAGCTTCCGAAGAGAATTTTTAAAGAGTGGTGTTGTTTGAAGGCTGGTTCTGGCTGCTCGATTCCCAGCTGGCCGATTTCAGAACTTGGCAGTTTCTTAGCCTACATTTATATCATGGTGTATTCTAGATAAACGACACTTGTTTCTTCCTCTAGAGTTTTCTAATTTATGTTGACAATAGAAACAATCCTTAACTCAAATCTTTGATAGCTTTTGGTTGAGGAATAATTGATTGGATTACGTATAAAAGTGAGTATCTTGCTGCTTACTCGTATGTGATGTATTTATTGACTTCAGTTTCGGGTTGGAAAATGAAATTGCATACATTTACAATGAAACCTGACATCTAAATACTGCGTCTTAAAACATCCTTGCTTGCTCGGATCGTTTTATGACTGTTGAGTAATATTGAATGCACTAAAATATTTAACAAGAGTAAAATCTTTAAAGTATGTCTGTAATTCCTAAAGCAATATTGATGAAAAGTAATTTGGTCAGATGAGAGAGCTTTTTTTTTTTTTTTTTGAGGATTCATTATACCTAAAGCTTCAGTTGGAACAGACAAAGGGAATGGTTTAATTCATTTTAGTATAGTGGATATCTAGAAAGCTAGTAGTCTATTATGAGTGAGTTTAAAAAAAAAAAAAAGTGATTAAATTATCAAGTTTCTGCATCTCAGCTTTTTTGTTGTTGTTATTACAGAAGTAAACTACACTGTGGATGCAGAGGATTGTTTTATTTATTTTTAACTATGTGTTTGCTGTAGTTATCATACTGTCCTTACGAAAAGACAGTAAAGGACCTGTGCCACACAGTGCTGTGTGTTGTGATGGTGTGAAATAAGGCTGGTACTGCTGGTGCCTCTTCAGGAGTTGGTTTAGATTTAGAATGCTTCCTATGGAGAAAAATGTATTTCACAACCTTGTTCATTTGTGTGGAATGACATCTTTTCATTGTGTGCTCTGTTGTGTTGGTGTCCGTAAATTTTGGTGAAGTTTCTGGAGCCCATGGTATCTCAGTTCAATCAGAAGCACACCAAAGTATTGCTGAGATGGGCAGGAATGTGTGTTTGAAGAATTAGGTTCTAGTTGAAGATGCAACTGAAATTGAACTAAACTTTAGTAGAGCAAACTTAAGCTTCCTCAAGCTTGTTAGTAGGATCCCATGGGAGGCAGCTCTGAGAAACAAGCTCAGGAAAGCTGTCAGATCTTTAAGGGCAACCTCTTCCTAGCGCAAGAGCAGTCCATCCTCATACTCAAGGGAATGAACAGATCTATCCTGAGAGTGGACTCATTAAATGGGGAACTCATGACAAGGCTCAGGAGGAGCTTTGGCAGGAGATAGAAGCAGAGATTGACTACAAAAAGATGGGATCTTTCTATGAGGTAAGGACAGTAAGTGTCACTTACTTCAACCTTGACAAGACTTCCAATGCTCTTACAATATTACTGCATCCATATTAGGATGTTAGAATTTGGATGGCCAAAAGACAAGCTGGATTAAAACCCTTTGGTCAGGGTCAACAGGTTGTGGTTAAGGGGTTTCTCCTGCCTGGAGGCTGGTAACAAATGATCTACTGCTGGAGTTTGTCTCGTATAACAGATCTGATCTTCCAGAACGTGTATAAAGGTGGAGTGCATGTTCCTTAATGCAGGTGACTCCAGTTAGATTGACACTGTCAATATGCTCAAGGGCAGGGCTACCATCCAGAGAAACCTGGGTAGGCTGGAGGAGTGAGCCAACAGGAGCCTGATGAAATGTAACAAGGATAAATGCAAAGTCCTGCACCAGGTAAGAAGCAATCAATTGCTACAGTGCAGGCTGGGGATGCCCTCTAGGGAGCAGCTCTGCTGAAAAGGAACTGGATGCTGGAAGGCAGCATACTGCATATGAGTCAGCTCTGTGTCCAGGAGGCAGTTAGCTAACAGCATTTCTGGGCTGTACAAATGGGAGCAAATTAGCACAGCAAAAGAAGGGATTTTCCTCTTCTGTTCAGCAGTTTTCTGATCACCTCTGGATTACTGTGTCCAGTTTTAGACCCCTCAGTACAAGGCATTGATCAGCTGGCTTGAGGTCAGCAATGGTCAGCTGCTGAAGTGTCTTCCCTATGATGAGAGGAAGCTTGGCTTCTTCAGCTTGCAGAAAAGTAAGATTTCTGGAGACATAATAGCATCCTTCCCAGAGCTTATTGAAATGGTGGCAACAGGTATTTTATGGTGATGCATTGTATGAGACTAAGAGATAGTGGATGGGAAAGCAGGAGAGATTCAGACTGGAAATAAGGAAAAACTATGTCATGATGATGCTGGTCAAGCACTGGAAAAGGCCTCCCAGTTGAGGCTGTGCAGCCTTCATCGTTGGAGGTTTTCAAGGTACAGGTGATAAAAACTCCTGAGCAACCTGATCTGATCTCAGGGCTGACTCTGCTTTGAGCAGTGCATTTGACAGAATTACTTCCTAGGCTTTTTGTAATCCTATAATTTGGGTGTAGAGTGTGAAAATAAAATGCTTGGCTGCGCCTAACAAATTTATTCTTTATAATGCAAGTGGAAACAGTTACAGTCACCTGGGCTGGTAGAGTGTGCAGTTCTAGGAGAACATAGCTGAGAGGTTTTACACTGGAGTTGTTGCCCTTATTCTTGGTCCAGTATTTAGGAAAATCTTATTTCAGCACTTAAGAATGACATATAGAGCATATATGTTCTCATTACTTCTGCTGATAGTGTTTCTGGAGAGTCGGATGCTGGATGAAGAAAATAAGACAGGGTTTTCTGATGACAAATATTTTAGGAGGCTGTGCTGTGTTGCTTGTGACTTTGAGTTGTTTCATATTTACATGTTTTGT